GGCAAATCTACATTTCCAAACAAACATCCAAGAAAGAACAATGTATTGATATATGCAATTGAGCAATTTTTTGTGAATATCAAAAAGTAAATGTTAAGGAAGCACGTGATATGAGAACAATAATTGTGGCTGTCAAATTTTGATATAACTGTGGGTGGCTGACAAGCGAAATATGACAGGTCATCAACACATACCTCCTCGAAGTCGACATTCACAAATAGGGGCTGGACATCTCTTTGCTCAAGCACCTCTTGGAAACATCGAAAAAATTCACTGAATTGACTATCATCTGAAATGAAGAGAATTTAAACATTACCCATAAGAAGTAAATAACTAACAACTGTGAATTCATGTCCTTTTTTTGTACTATACAGATGCAAATTTTATTCTGGAAATAGGTTAATAATAGTAACATAAAATGTAGTATAGAAGTTATAGCACAAACCTGGCACAGGCTTTACATCCTTTACTGTTCTCTTTATATTATTCAGCTCTATAATTTACCCTAATTTTATCATCATGACTCCTTACTTTTTCGATCCTTTCCTCTCCTTTGCTTCCAGTATGACTGTACTAGCAATTAATAAGGCTTCAACTTTCGTAGTTCACTATTACTAGAAATTTGTGGGTTGTTTGATATCATAGGATTTCATCGTATTCGGGATAAGGATTTGTTGAATTGATGCTGTTTACAAACCATCAAACCTGCATTCTACCTCTTTCCTGGTTTTGCCGCAATTGACTATGTGGCGTTATTTTCTGAGGTTGCTAAGACAGACTTCACTAGGCTGTCATCGTCAGAGTCTGATGTTACAGTAACTGCCTCTGAATTTTGATCCTCCACATCTGTTGCCTGGTCATGAGCTTGTGCACTGGACTTGCGCGTAGCACCTAAGATTTAATTTTTCAAATCAGTTTAACGAACTTTCTTGTGGAATGAATGCATATGAAAAAGTGTTTTTTTAAGTTCAAACTATCAGCTGGAAATTATGTCTGGTTGAAAACTTTCAATCGCATACAAAGCTTACACGGACCTCCACACCGGCAAATAACATATATTTATTTTCTGCTCGTTAGCCTAAATACTTGCAAACATTCGAAAGCTGGTGATTGAATATTAAGAAGTTATTTCACATCGCAATGTTAGGAATTTCCTGATTCCCAGAGACACTGAAGACTCACGTAAATCCACAAGTTTTCTGTTTATTTATTGTTCCGAATTCACTCCAATGATCACAAAAAGATTCTAAAGATCACGCGTTTCTTACCGGAAACGAGATATCACATGATTGAAACTCGAGATGAAATCAACAATAGCTAAAAACAAAAGAATAATCACAAGTTTGTTAGCGTGACGACTTGTCACGCTACAGTCACAAAAGTTCTCCACAGCAAAGCTTTGACCAATTGTTTGAGTTTCTTCGATCACATGTATTGGAAAATCCAAGGCTTATCAGGTGGTTGACCTGAGAGAAGCTGACGTCTTTCATGCGATCAATGTACGCTACTGAAATACTCAAATCCACACTGAAAATTTTCGAAGAAAATTGGAAACAGAATTGGGTGACTTATTGCAATTGAAGATCTCCTGGATAATAGAAAGCTTTTTGTTCTACCCCAAACTCTGTCCATCTCAAATCAAGGAAATTCAGCAAGCTGGCCTGTACTTCCGTGATGCACTTCTCCCAAATATTAGTACGATGTCATGGCCTCCGAAACCTGCTGAGCTATGTGAAAGTGCAGTCAAACTTCCAGAAGAACTAGATGCGCTCTATACACTCTCGTAACTGGCAACACACAAATCCCAGCAGGATATCCTGATCGTGTCCGGCACCTTGTTGACTCTTTTGGCCAGGACATCATTTACGGAGTTACTCCAGGACTAAAACCACCCAAGCAAATACTGTTACCATATGCCAAACAATGTTCAACTTATCCAGATGCCACACCGATGTGGGCATGGGATCGTTCCTTTGCCTGAAACTATCAAGCCATATATCAACACAACACTCACGTGGGATAATATTGATAGATTGGAGGAAACTCTTTCTGGTGCGGGAACCAAAAAGCCACTGGCTAGAGTGAATTTAACATTTCTGTCCGTAATGAAACATCAACATGTCAGAACATTTTTTTAATAGCGAAGTTAGATTTCTCATTTTGATTTGTGTTTATTTTGATTAGATCCCTGAGGCAAAAAGATGGTTTACGAGGAAAAACTCATTTTAAGAAAGAAATGATCATACATGTCTTTTAAGATCAAATATCCTATGAATAAAGTCTTAATTAAAGGAAAACAAAAACTAGAACAGCACACTATGATGAAATATTCCTTGCATTATGAAACATGAAGTTTTAGGAACATTTACCCTTTATTTTTCAAAATTTATATCTTTGAGATGGTTATAATTTCTGCCATCCCTCTTGTTGTGGAGGAATGAAGTTACTTTGGTACTGGGCCTGGAAGCTTTGAACTTTATTCGATACACATATTCAGTGCTTTTTTTATGTGCTGAAATATATGCTACCAGCTATACATTCATTCCCTACCCGTTTACCATACCAAGACATAGAAAATAGAACTTACCTTAACGTATTGTACGAATATCTCAGCGCTAACCTTCCGACCCTAAAACACTACACCTTGGAGAAAAAAATTAGGATCACTCAAGGTTTCTGGTAAACCAGACCAAAAACGCTCGATCTAAAACGACCACGATACCTCGTTTTGCCACTCTGCGACATACGAGGCTCGATTACGCAATCGAGTCTCGATTTTGTAATCGAGGCTCGATTTTCCAATCGAGCCTCGTTTCTTTAATCGAGGCTCGTTTCTTTAATCGAGGCTCGTTTCTTTAATCGAGGCTCGTTTCTTCACTTGAGGCTTGTTTTTAAGAGAGAAAGAGAGCAAGAAAAAAAAGGAAGGAAGGAAGGAGGGAAGGAAGAAAGAAAGGAAGAAAGAAAAGAAGAATGGAGGGAAGAAAGAAAGAAAGAGAAAAAGAATACTGCAAGTTGAAAAATTAATAATTTAAACCCATATGCTTCTGTAACTGCAAACTTAGAATCCCTAACATTGTGTGGTTGACAGTATGCACCAAGCAGCAAAAAATAAATAAATAAAAACAAGAAAAATAACAAGAAAATGACAAAAAAGAAAAGAATAAAAACACCAGGATTAATGAGAGTTTTTATCGTGGGCGCAACAGGTTATTTTCGGCACATTTGAAAAAAGTTATAGTCTGCCTTTAGTAGACTGTAAGCATTCCCTCTTTGTTTAAGAAAAAGCGAAAAGAAAAATAGAGGAACGAAAAATTGGCCTGGCAGCAAATCTGGGTTTCTGGGCGGTCATTAATAAAACGCGCTTTTTTTTTCACAGTTTAGTTATATTTGAGTGATTTAGTTTTCTTTCATCTTTCCGTCCTTAAATAATCATAATCACAGTTTATTTCATATTATATATCTACAAACTGGAATTTATATTATTTTAAGAACTTAACTGACCCGTGAAGCCCTAAGTCTAGCAATCATAGAAATCCATTTACAGCGCCGTAAAAAAATTGAAAGTTTTTATCGTGGATAGAGCGTGTCATTTGTAGCACAGACTAAAACGAAAAAAAAAGTCAGGGTCTAGCTTTAACAGACCAGAGAGCATAAAATAGCTTTAGTTTTGGTGGAATTTGGGTACTCCCACTTCTTCGAAGAAAAAGCGGCAAAAGAAATCACGTTAAGAAAATTAGCAGCTAACGAGGCTGACGCGGACCCACAATTAACCAATAAAATATAATATAGTAAATAAAAAAATTTACCCTATTATATTGAAATATACAACTGATCAAAAATAAATAAAGCATCATATCTATAAAATAAAGTACATTGACAAAATAAAATTGCATGTTGCCCAATACAATATAAGAAATATTTAAAGTATCTAATAATAAGCAAACTCGCTTTCCTTATTCTTTATAATCATAGCCTCCTTTTCGAACGATAAATTATGGATATGAAATGCAGATGTTTTTCAAGTTTATTATGCTGACTCCAGAAAGCTCAACTTTGGTATTTATTAAGTTCCATCGGCAGTTACTTAGTCCTGGCTATTTTTCTGTCCCAGTTTATGTGTGATTTAGTTCTCGTTCGCATTTTTCATCCCTATATCGATCATCATCAGTCACTTACATTCATCTATTTTTATCAGTGTGATTTCGTTATGTTCGCAGTTTAAATGAAAGAAGGATCAAACAACTGACATGTAACATTTATTTTGACAAAAACCTTTTTTATTTCTACTCTCAATATTTTGATTTTGCAGCGCGCCCCTAAAGAGCCTTTTGTAATGTTTGCTTTCGAAAACAGTATTTTTTAATAAATAAAGCTTTAGTTCTTATTACCTTATTACTGTAATAAGTTTCGAGAACTGCAAATGTCAATGGGCTCTTTAAAGTCCAACATAAACATTAGTTTTGTTGTAATAAAAGTTTCAAGTAATGTGGACGGGTTTATTCTAAAATATCCAGTTTAAAGTTTGATGTAGAATCTATTAGTAATTTCACATTTTCCAGGTTAAGTAGTCCTTCTTTGAGTTCATCTGTTGTGTTTTTGCATGACAGATCTACTTTGTTGATCAACATTTTCATGACGTCTGTAAAGGCTGTCAGCCAGACATCTTTACCATCGATTTGTGCACATAAATGTGCAGACATGCCCTTTTCACATGCTTTGACCTTTTGACAGGTGCCACAACTAGTACAAGTAATGACTTTGCAATAAAAAGCATATGGCATTTTCTTTTTGCAGTTTGGAATCTGACAAACCATGAAGGTGTTTACTTTATCTTTGAATTTAAATTCCTCTACTGTTATTGTCTTTTTAATGTTGGTTAACAACTCTTTTCCTTTTATGTCTTTCAGTAGGGTATCAATTGGAGTGAACGTGGTTTCTGTTGTTGTTCCGAGGTGCGTCTTCCCATTGAAGTTTTTGACACTGAGATTCTTCATGTCATAGCTTTGTACAGTGGTCATCGCTGTAATAGTGTCATCCCAAAGATGGATGATGGCATTGCCTGTTTTGTCTTCGAGAACACAGTCTTCTTTTACCCTCCCTTTGGAACTATTTCTTTTGACAAGTTCTTTTGGCTCCAAAGAACCCATTGTTAAGGTTGCCTTTATGTTCACTCTTTGGTTTCGTGTTAGTTTGTCAAGCTATTGTAATGTAATATCTGTGGCAGATGAGTCAGGGAGGTTGGCTGATGATGAAGTGCCTGCAGGAGAATGCTCTTTGCATGGATCAAAATTGACATCACTTGAATTAGCTTTGAGGAGTGAGGTGTACTGGTTTATGAAGATTTGGCCATCATCTTCCCTGGCACTCAATATTTTAGAAGGTGACTTTGTTTTCTCAAAGTGAATGGCTTGCTGGTGGGTTTTCTGGTCAAAGCCAATGACTTTAGCAAACTTATCTGGAGATGTTTGGAAGCTAAATGTATAGTAATCTGTACCAGATTTTCCTTTTTTCGTTGATGACACTGAGTCCACAAAACCAGGTGGAGTATCTGTAAAAAGAAACACACAAAAAATCAGAACTGAAGTAAATGAAATTGGAAGATTATAAATGGAAAATTTAGTTTACATATTCTTGTGAAGTGGGAAAATAACAATAAGAGTACAAACCTTTTCGCTTTGATGCCATGGATCTGTGAATGTAAAAGCACTGAAAAAAAAAAAAATTCCAAATGTTATGCACCAGTTGTACTAATGATTGCTTGGTTTGAGTAATTGATATACTTTGCTTCTCAGAAAGTTGTCGTTGTATAATAATGGTTATAATAAACTTATTATATTTTACAATTTATTTACACGCAAAAAGTTGTTTGTTTAGTGTATCATGAGAAAAGGAAGTGAAATTTCAGTCAGTTACTTGCCAATAATCTTGCCAATATACTCAGTTTTAGGATTACTTTGAACAAGGCAGTGTGACTTACTGTATGTTGATGTTGTTCATAAATAGTATAGGTAGATGTATATTAAATATTATGAATTGGATGATGAAGTTAATACATTGATTTGTAGTTGAGTTTAGTGAATGGAATTTAAGGTGGTATTGTTTGCCAACATAGAAAGGCGCTCTTCTTCTTGTAGCCTGAACTGGAAGTTTGATGCATTCTTTATAGTTTTCAAACGTTCAAATGACATTGGCTCAATAACAGAAGAATCTAGTATTTTCACCCTACTGATTGCAACATATGTCATGCCTGCTGTTCGTTCTCGTGGACCAATATCTATCCAAGCTTTTTCTAGAGTGAGTCCTTGGATTTTGTGTATTGTTGTAGCCTAGGAAAGCCTTAAAGGTAATTGCTGTCTTTCATGAAAAGTATCAAGTGAATGAGATGTTACTGTGATAGGGCACACTGGCACACATTTTGATAGTAACTCAGTAAATGATGGCCCTGTATAATAGTCAAATTTAACCATAACTGCTATTGGTAAATCTGGTGGTGAGTGATTTTCGGCAAATATGATGTCTACAACTTTTCCAGTAGCTCCATTACACAGTCCAACTTCTGGCCATAAATTCATTGTAAGCATTACGGAAGCATGTCTGGCAAGAAATAAGATAGGTACTAATCCAGACATTTCATCAGGAGGTAATGATTTAGCAGTGGAAGATGAATGGCGAGCTTGAATGCAAGCTACTGGTTGAGAAAGCTTCAGCAGTTCTTGGTGATTGTCACCAACAGCAACATCATTGTTACCATAAAATAATTTTATAGCATCGTCAAATTCATTTAGATTTGCAACCAGTGATGGTTGACGAGATAAAAGAAGTTGCCAGTCTTGTTCAGTAGAATCACCAGTGCGAAGACGCATCAATAAATTTTTAAAGGCAAGCTGCATAGCACTGGAGCCCTGTACCCTCTGATTGGCAGATAATCTTACTACTTTATCAAACATTAAATATGCAATGTTCCCTTGTTTGCCAATAGGTCCTGTGGGCTTTGTATGATATGAAGGTTTGTCTGCAACAGGTGGTAACTGTGCTGGATCACCTACCAAAATAATAGATTTTCCCCCAAAAATTTCATCATGTAGTCCAGTTGCTTGCCTGCATCGTTTGTCAGTCCAGCCAAGCAATGTCTGGCCGAGAATAGAATACTCATCAATTAAGATATATTTAACATCACGTAACCGGTCTTGCAACCTTAAAAGAGACTTTCCTTTAAGATCATTGTTACCTCTTGGACCAACAGGTAAATTTAATACTGAATGAATTGTTTTGCCATTGATATTAAATGATGCCTTTCCAGTAGTGGCAGTCACAATGCAAGATTGCTGTAGTAGAGATCTTAAAGCACTTATAAGGTAACTTTTGCCAGTTCCTGCAAATCCATTTATTATTAAAAGTAAGGGTGGTTCTTGGCTTGGGCTTTCGAAGTGTTCTTTAACTGAATTGTATGCAAGTGCCTGCATATCACTGAAAGTATTGATGTTTATGTTGTTGAAAGGGTTATTTGAAGTTTGATAAATATATGTTTGCTTTTGAGAAATTATCCAGGATGGCATTTCAGCTATTTGTTGTGAAATATATGGGTAAGAGGCTGTCTAGTCTAGTCTGCCAATTATGTAGTGAGGAAGCTTCAGGATCACTTGAATTGTTTGAAATAGAAAAGTCTGCTAAAATCATCCATTCTTCACGTTGCTCTGATTCAGTATACTTTTCAGTATGTAAATCAGAATCAGAATATTCCTGTAAACCTTCAAGTTTGTCATGCCAATCAGGAACATAGTTTTGGGCATACTCTGACTGCAAGAATGTTTTCCACTGACTAATGAATAGTTCATCATTTTCCTGTTTATTTCCCCATGCATCTTGTGGTGTTGTTTTCCATGGCCTATATCTCAATAATTGATATTTACAGTACAAGGCAAAATTGGGGCTTTTTATGCTTGAAGAATATGTAGGAAAAACCCTTGGAATTAGGTTTTTAGGCTGAGTAACCAATTTGCCAGAAACGAGTTTGTACTTTGTTGCAAACTCAAGAAAGTTCATATTTGTCAAGTTGCATTTTAAATCTGCTCGATATTTGTCTCGTTGAGCATATGTATGAAGTAAGCTATCTGTTGTTACTACTTCATTGGGTGCATCAGACAGGTTAAGTCTATGGGAGCCATTCAAGTTCACAGGAAATACTATGAAGGATGAGCTGACAAAATTAAGGGAAAGCAAATGGTGCATTGTTTCCTGTGCAGAAAAATCTCTCTGACCTAGTGTTTTCATGACAGTTTTCTTTATCATTGTTGTGGCATCAGCAGTTGACTGACAGTTGTGAACAATAGCACTGAATGTGTTCTTAAGGAGGTGAGATCTTGTTTCACTCTTTGCTGCATACTTTGCCAGATACTCAACACAGGCCTGGTAATCTACAACAAGTTGAATATCACAGTTTGCACGCCAGCCTTGAAGCTGAAGTCGTTGGTGACTGTTGAGTCTGGAGTCATTCCTTTTAGTTACAACTTGTATTTTATATTTTGGTGTGTTATCCTTGGAATGAATAAGTTCAAATTGTAATGAGGTTTTTTCATTATGTTGAAATGGGAAATTAAACCTACATTAAGGTTCTTTTTCATTTCCTTTTTTTCTTAAACAATAGCTGGTACTGCATCGAGTGTGCCTTTGAATCATGTTTAATAAATCGATGTAGTCATTGTCAGATTCTTTAATATCATTATAGTTTTTTTGACAAGGATGAATAATTGGTTTTATCCAATTGCCTTCATCTGGAGGAACTGGGTTACAAGCAGAGAGAATCCAATCATAGTACTGGCAGATTTCTTCACTAGCTATTTTCCCATTGATTACAGTTAAACTGTCAGGTGTACTTTCATCTTCAGAAACATCTGCCAAGTATCCTTTCAGTGCAGTGTCACTCAATTTGCACAAATCTGGATCATTGTTTAATTTTGCAACACCGTGACAATGAATACTACCTCTGGACTGATATTCGAATCTACACCAATGCCATTTGGCATCAAGTGTGTTATACAACCAATGTTTCATAAAGCTCTTTAACCGTTCTGTATAGAACCAATCAACTATGTGAGGGTTATCAATAACATTCTGGTGTCTTACATCAGGAGAATTCTCATTGCCATTTGTATTACAGGTATTTTGAAAAAGGTCATGTAATTGTGGCCAGTGCATATCTGCTGAGGAAAATGTGAAAAAGAAAGTTGGAGCACCCACATGTTGGATGATTGCTTTTAAATCTTCTTTTGCCTTAAACCAATCGGCCTGAACCAGTTATATTGGTGATGTACCGTGCCAATTTTGTCATCAAAAGATTGCTTTGATTATTTGTAATCTGTCTCTTAACTCTTGCAATGTTAAATGTTTTTCTCCCGGATTTTTCTTAAAAAATATTCCAGTTTGTTAAAGAATTTGTTTACGTTGAATCATATTTAAAGCCCAGTAAGAAAATCTTGAATGATTTGCAAAACGATGACACCATTTATTATCTTTTTTCTCTCCAAATTTAACCCTTTCACTGCCACAGTTCTGACAAAGACTGTTTTCTGACTGCCAGGTTTTTTTTTACTAGTAACCTCAAAAAATCACTCTCAATCTTTAATGGCTTATATCTCAGTCAGTTTTTAAGATATTAAAATGAAATTTTCAGGATAGTATCTGGAATAAACAAATATTTTTCTACGTTGTCGGGGGGGTGATCGGGTCATGTGACCTGACTTTCATTGCAAGGCATTATGGGTTTCTTAAAAATAACTATTTTACATTAAATTTCCCTTTCATTTCTCTTTGTATTTTTTACCTAAAACACTGAAAGGACTTAACTCAGCTGAACAATCTCTTCATCATAACTTTACAAAGTTACATTCAAGCATAAAGGCTAATATTCTTCCTAAAAAGTGATTTTTAGCAACAAGTTTGCTGTTGCACCACTAACAAATAATGACAGTGAATTTTATAAAGACAAAGAAACAAATATGTCTTAATATATTCTCCATCATAACAAACATGAGGGTTTATGTGTCATATCAGACAGTGTGTTGTGTACAAGTGATACTGAGCAGTACCATAGTGTAATGTTTACAAGTTATACTGACGCAAAGTGTGATAACGTTCAAAACAAGGAACAATGCATAATGCTATATCACACTGCTTGCAATAAAAAAAAGTTTGCACCCTTTTCTTATTTTTCCTGTCAGAGCAAACCCGACAATCAAGTTTTTGCTTGGGGTTCTCATTTTTTCCTAGGAAATGGTGTCCAGTAAGTCTTAGAGGGTCTGGGGTATCTGAGGGCCTCCCATTTTGAGGCTGAGGCGGGTTCCAGTCCCTCAAAAGCCCAGTTATTACTTGCTCTCTAAACTTTTTAGGGTTAACTCTTTTAGTGGAGTTTGCCTTCTTGTAAAGAATAAACCCATTTACGAGGGCAATTTCCCTGGCCCTATGGAAAAGGGTATGATACCATTTGACACACTTGTGAGGAAATTGGTATGTGCCTAGCATTTGGTCAAGGGTGTCGACCCCACCCATGTTTGAATTGTATCGATCAGCGATTACTGGCTTTTCAACTTCCCTATAACCCCCTTCCCCATTCTTACTTCTAACAGCCTTGTCTACTGTCAAATTATTCTCAACAGTACTCAAAAAGGTAACACGTTTTGTGTCTTGCCATGCACAGGCAACAAGATTATCTGAATGCATAAAAACAGGCGGTTCTCCCTTTTTTAGAGACAATCTTGATGGCAAGAGCTCTTTTGGCATTTGTTTCCGATTTACTTTCACAGTTCCACAGGCACCAATGTTCTCTTGCTCCAATTTCTTGAATAGAGATGGAGCAGAATAATAATTGTCCATGTAAACAATGTGGCCCTTGTCCTCGTATCCTTGCACTAATGACAAAACAACCTGTTCCGAAAGGCTGACCCCTTTATATCGAGGAAATGATGCTTTGCCAGTGTAGACAATGGACCTCAGGCAATAGCCAGTTTTTGCCTCAGCAAGCACAAACTGCTTGACCCCCCACCTTGTGGGCTTGGTTGGAAGGTACTGCCGAAAAAATAGTCTCCCCTTGAATTTGAGCATACTTTCATCCAAGGAAAGGTCACGTGCTGGCTGATACCACTTTTCATAAGTTGGGTTGACTATGTCCAACAAAGGTTGAATCTTGAATAAAGGATTGTAACCTTCTTCACCCCTGGCAATTTGGTTTTCAATATTGTTAAAATGCAGAAATGCTTGTAACAGTTCAAACCTGTTGCGTGACATCACAGATGAAAATGGCAGGGCTGTCAACCAAAATCCACTCCAATAATCAGCATGGGCTGGTTTCTGGCAAAGCCCCATTGCAATTTGCAAAGCGAAAAAGGCTTTTATTTCATTAGGAGATGTGTCTTTCCAGGCTCGGAAACGAGAACAAGGCTCAAAATCAGCAGGCGTATCTAAATACTGTTGTGCATACCTGTTTGTCTCCCTTGAAATCAGTTCAAAAGCTTCATTTGGGAAGAAGAGATAAAAAAAGTCGACTGGGACATAATTAGATGCATCAACAAGTATTCCCGGCCGTTTGTCAAAATTTTGAAGCCATGTGGACTCGAACGGATCAATATCCTCGTAAAATTCCCACTCTATTTCTCGCTCACGAGCGATACCACGTCTAGCTCCTCGTGCTCGCTGCAAATTTTCCTCGTCGGCTGACATGTCTGTGTCGAAATCATCAATGCTATTCTCCATTTCACCTTCGGAAGCCGATTCCATGTTGATTTCAGTGTCACTGGCGCTTTCGCTTTCTGAACCACTTGCTTCTTCTTCCATTTCAGAGTCACTGTCGCCAAAAATAGTATCCAAAGCCTCTTCAACAGTAAACCTTCGATTAGACGCCATATTTAAATGCCCAAAGTTGTAAACAAATAAAAAATATGGATTTCTCGAGTCAAATATGAGCTAAATTTGCTTCGTTTCGAGTCGAAAATGAAATCTAAGAAGCTATTTCATTGGTTAGTTAGAACAAGGACTATGATTCGTTCATTTTAATGCTATTGTTTGGGCGACTAAAGTCGCCCATGGCGGTCTATAGGTAAGGCGACTAAAGTCGCCCATGGCAGTGAAAGGGTTAATAAGGTGTTTGATCTTTTCCTTAAGAGTAACATTTTTTAACAGGGACGGGTTTGTTGGATCCCCTTCACTATGTGGAAATAGTGTTGGGAATGCCAGTGTAGCCAAAAATGCGGTGGTAAATTTATTTAAAGGGTTGTCGCTTGAACTTGACCAGTTAATATGACCTTGTAAAACTAGCTGATTTATTGAATGTTTTTCCTGTTGTTGGCTATTATTTATTGGAAGAAAGCTTGAAGTATCGACAATTGTATTATAAACATTGTCGTCTTCTTCATAAACAGGGCCATGATCTGGACCACAGTTAAGGGTATCATCAATAACATGATATATGATC